ATAATAATTCACAATATTACTGTTTTTACTGTATATTTGATCAAATAATTGCAGCCTTGGCGAACATACAGAGGACTTTCTAAAACATGTATTAAAAAATAAATAAATAAATACCCACCCAAACTTTTGAACACTAGTTTATGCAAGTACATACTGTACGTGCTATACATGCATGCATACAAATGTACAATGGTCATTATTCTGAAATGTTTAACTCCAGACAGCTTTGTAATAATAACTGATGCGCTTTCTTTTTGCTGAAGCTTTGAAATCTCATTGCCGTTGCTTGTCATTGCATTTTATTTTATTTTTTTTATTGCTGTTATGCACCTGAATGAAAATGTCCAAAGTTGTTTCCTTTATATTATAACTCTGTTTGGTTTCAGTTCAAGCACTGATAGTGACAGGAAGAGGCCGTTGATTGTGTTTGACGGCAGCTCTACTAACACTGGCAGTGTAAAGCTGAAGAAACTTGATCCTTCACCAGCACCTGTCACCACAGACCGACTAAAGCCCCCGGTTTCCAGCATCAATCTCACAAACCCCATACGCAAGCTCTCTGGAACCTTCACAAACTCTTCCTCAAATTCCTCTAACAGGACCCCAGTGTCATCGCCAGGGGCTGGTCCCAAGAGCCCCTGTAATCACTAATTGCAGCCTTGGCGAACATACAGAGGACTTTCTAAAACCTGTATTAAAAAATAAATAAATACCCACCCAAACTTTTGAACACTAGTTTATGCAAGTACATACTGTACGTGCTATACATGCATGCATACAAATGTACAATGGTCATTATTCTGAAATGTTTAACTCCAGACAGCTTTGTAATAATAACTGATGCGCTTTCTTTTTGCTGAAGCTTTGAAATCTCATTGCCGTTGCTTGTTTGATGAAAAAACTTTGTTGCATGCTTCTTAACTGAACTTGATGCACAGCTCAGAATATGCAGAATGAAAATAATAATAATAATTTATTCGAGAAGAAATTGTGAGTAATAATATCATATTTTATATTTTTATGGCTATTTTATATATATATATATATAGCTGTTATGCACCTGAATGAAAATGTCCAAAGTTGTTTCCTTTATATTATAACTCTGTTTGGTTTCAGTTCAAGCACTGATAGTGACAGGAAGAGGCCGTTGATTGTGTTTGACGGCAGCTCTACTAACACTGGCAGTGTAAAGCTGAAGAAACTTGATCCTTCACCAGCACCTGTCACCACAGACCGACTAAAGCCCCCGGTTTCCAGCATCAATCTCACAAACCCCATACGCAAGCTCTCTGGAACCTTCACAAACTCTTCCTCAAATTCCTCTAACAGGACCCCAGTGTCATCGCCAGGGGCTGGTCCCAAGAGCCCCTGTAATCACTCCAAAACTGCCAACTCCTCGGTACATTCAAACAATACCACGTTGAAGCTAAAACGCACATCCCCCAGCGATGGAGAACCCAACACTAGAGTGAGTATCAAACTAACACCATGAAAAAGCGCTTATTTAACTTGTCAGGTGTTGTGTGGTGTAGATAAGAGTGAATCTTTTAGGTTTTCTGTTATTAATTCTTTAATTTTTTTGTGGCAGAAGGACATTAAGTCACCTGATACAAAGAAAAAGATTCAACATATCACATGGCCGTAATCTGTGAAGTCATCTAGGATGGACGGTTAATGCCACTGACATTGTCTGCTGGGTCTCTGAGGCAGAGAGAGACTCATAATGAGACGCATGAATTTGAAAGATGGGTTCTTGTCACTCATCTCAAGTTGTCACTTTCATCTTTACTTACCAGCCTCAGGAAAGGTGACTTGAGAAATGTGACCCTCTGGTTCATTTCACACTAGGCAACGCATCGGCTTTTGACTTGTGTGGTAAAGGAACTGAGACATTCCTAGCAGTTTTATGTTAGACTGATCAGTTTTTCACTTTTTTTAGCAATATGTTCATAGAAATATCTTTCTTGCAATGAACAAACTTTCCGTTGTGAGTGAATCAAACCCACTAAGAGGAAATGGATGGAAGATGGACATGCTTTTCCGTTGGTCTGTGTCGGATGTCTGCTGTGTTTTACTGATATAGGTGTATTCAGAGTAACTGGATGTGCTTGAACTGAGTGGCATTTTGAAGAAATCTCTTCTCTCCAATAAAATGTTTGCATTGATCAGTGTTTTAGATCGGGATAGGCCTGTCCAAGTGCTTTGGCCAATATCAGGTAAATTCCTTGACAGTTTTTTGTATTTATAGCCCCCACAGTGCCAAAATTTAGTTGTGATGTGTGTTGCATCATGCATTGATGTATTTAATTGAGAAAGCAATATGAAGGGTGTTTCACATGTCAGTGTTTTAGTGGTGGTCTTTTCTAGACATTATGAATTGAGTTTTTATTGAACTGCATGGAATGTTTTTAGTGACAACAAGCCTAATAAACGGCTGAGAGCACTGATAATGTTTTTTGCGATTATTATTATTATTATTTTTTTTTATGTTTTTAAGTCAGTAATTACCCCCAAAATTATAGTATTATAAAAAGTATAATACACTCAAGTTAATACTGGATCAGTCAAACTAAAATGTACTGTAAAAAATCCATAAATTAAAAGTTTATTTATTAAATATGTATGATATATGAATTCCATAGCTGTCCTGCTTTGTTACATGTACAATACAGTTAACAGTTTGGGGTTGGTAGGGTTTTTTTGTTCATTTAATGCAATAAAAACAGCAAAACTGTAAAAAATTAATAATTACTTAACTCATTTGTACACTAAATTAGTTTGCTTATACAATGAAGCGCAAGACGCTCTTTGGGACATTCTCAAATCATATTAGGACATAATGGATCATGTGGCTTCAGTGCACGTGACATTATAAAGAAGGGATATATTAAGAAATGCTGAAATCCATGTACATTTTGAATCCATATTTTTTAATTTTTTGAATTTGAATTGACCATGTGCCACGGGTTGTTGAAATAGGAATTTCTGTTGAGTTTTGCAGCTTCGGGGAGGCTTTAAAAGTACTAAAATGATATATAGTGTACATAACGATATATAAATAATGAAATTTGTCATTAAATATGAGACCCTGGTCTTAAGTGTCATTTTTTCAAAATTGAGATTTATACATCTGAATAAATAAGCTGTCCATTGATGTATGGTTTGTTAGGACAGCACAATATTTGGCCGAGATACAACTATTTGAAAATCTGGAATCTGAGGGTGCAAAAAAATCTAAATATTGAGAAAATCGCCTTTAAAGTTGTCCAAATGAAGTTCTTAGCAATGCATATTACTCATCAAAAGTTAAGTTTTGATATATTTACGGTAGGGAATTAGAAAATATCTTCATAGAACATGATGTTTACTTAATATCCTAATGATTTTTGGCATAAAATAAAAATGGACAATTTTGACCCATACAATGTATTTTTGGCTATACAAATATAGCGACTTAAGACCAGGGTCACATATTACATTTTATAAATTTAATTCCATTTCAATTCAACATCCTTAAATTCAAATTATAATTCTGCATCCTGTTTGCTACACCAGTGTTGTTGTTGTATTATTTATATATACTATTTTAGCATTAATATTTTTAATTAGCTTAACTTTTTCAGTTCAGTTTTCATTGTAATGTGTTTGTTTTAGTAACTGTATGTGCTTTTTCATTTTTATTTATGTTTTTAAATAGTCCTATTTAGCTTTTTTTTCCATTTTAGTTTTAGTTCAGCTCAAACATATTTTATTTCAGTTAGTTGCCAAGACAACAATTCTAATTTTAAGTTTTATAAGTTTTTAATCTAATATTTATATTTCAGTTGTATTTCAGTTAACGCAAATAATTATAGTAGTTTACATTCTAGTTAACAATAACTACACTGTGCTACATTTTATATTCAAGGAATTTAAAACTCATTCTCAATTTAATTCTGACTGGCACACAACCCTGATTTCAAACCACCATACATTATCGGTTTTAACATAATTGAGGTATTTCTGTATAGAAGCTAATTCTATTTATAGTTGTATTTGTTAGCTTGTACATACCACTGATGGGGGTGGTGCAGGAGGCACATTTCTTGGCATACAAGTTGCAGAAGCAGTTAAGGCAGTAGGCAAAGTCATCACGAGAGGTGAAGCGCTGGCCAGAGAGCTGCTGCTTACAGCCAGTGCACAGGAAACAGTCCTTATGCCACGGCTGGTCGTGGTACGTCACACCGCCAGTGGTGATGGGCTACACAGAGAAGGAAGGAGATGACATTGACTATCAAATGAACAGATTCCTTCACTCTTTATATAGTATGCAGATCATCTTTAGGCAGAGAATAGCTGGATTTTTCAAAATGTGCAGTATACAACTAACACATTGCAAAGAACACTATTTCACTCATAGTGAAAAACGTTAAATGTACTTGTAGCCTGTATGTTTAATTCCTGTAGCCTAGCTTGTTGTAGTTTGTAGGTTCCTTCAACTGTGCACTCTACCTTCTTGCAGTGAACACACTGCATGGCAAACTGCTTTTCGTAGCAGGGCACGCAATAGTTATGGTTGTCTTTGGGGATGAAGCTCTTGGTGCCAATCGGCTGCTGGCAGCGCTGGCAGGTAAAGCAGGTCTCATGCCAGCTGTTTCCTTTATGCTCCATCTTCCTGGAGCCTGAGGGAGAGAGGAGAGCCATCTTATTCCAAATATAACAACAGTCTGCTTATGAAGTGAAGCAGATCAGAGTGAGTGTTAAATAGTGAGGGAGTGATATGAAACAGCTGGGTGCAATCAGTGTAAACAGGTGTGTGCAATTCGTGCTGAGTGCAATCAGTGCAATGCATGATGGGAAATGTAGTCCGGGGTGCTATGCAACAGTTTGTGTGGTGCGAGAGTCAATGAAAAGGAAAGTTCATGGACCGGATTCGTGACACCCTGGTCTTAAGTGTCATTTTTTCAAAATTGAGATTTATACATCTGAATAAATAAACTGTCCATTGATGTATGGTTTGTTAGGACAGCACAATATTTGGCCGAGATACAACTATTTGAAAATCTGGAATCTGAGGGTGCAAAAAAATCTAAATATTGAGAAAATCGCCTTTAAAGTTGTCCAAATGAAGTTCTTAGCAATGCATATTACTCATCAAAAGTTAAGTTTTGATATATTTACGGTAGGGAATTAGAAAATATCTTCATAGAACATGATGTTTACTTAATATCCTAATGATTTTTGGCATAAAATAAAAATTGACAATTTTGACCCATACAATGTATTTTTGGCTATACAAATATAGCGACTTAAGACCAGGGTCACATATTACATTTTATAAATTTAATTCCATTTCAATTCAACATCCTTAAATTCAAATTATAATTCTGCATCCTGTTTGCTACACCAGTGTTATTGTATTATTACTTATATATACTATTTTAGCATTAATATTTTTAATTAGCTTAACTTTTTCAGTTCAGTTTTCATTGTAATGTGTTTGTTTTAGTAACTTTATGTGCTTTTTCATTTTTATTTATGTTTTTAAATAGTCCTATTTAGCTTTTTTTTCCATTTTAGTTTTAGTTCAGCTCAAACATATTTTATTTCAGTTAGTTGCCAAGACAACAATTCTAATTTTAAGTTTTATACGTTTTTAATCTAATATTTATATTTCAGTTGTATTTCAGTTAACGCAAATAATTATAGTAGTTTGCATTCTAGTTAACAATAACAACACTGTGCTACATTTTATATTCAAGGAATTTAAAACTCATTCTCAATTTAATTCTGACTGGCAAACAACCCTGATTTCAAACCACCATACATTATCGGTTTTAACATAATTGAGGTATTTCTGTATAGAAGCTAATTCTATTTATAGTTGTATTTGTTAGCTTGTACATACCACTGATGGGGATGGTGCAGGAGGCACATTTCTTGGCATACAAGTTGCAGAAGCAGTTAAGGCAGTAGGCAAAGTCATCACGAGAGGCGAAGCGCTGGCCAGAGAGCTGCTGCTTACAGCCAGTGCACAGGAAACAGTCCTTATGCCACGGCTGGTCGTGGTACGTCACACCGCCAGTGGTGATGGGCTACACAGAGAAGGAAGGAGATGACATTGACTATCAAATGAACAGATTCATTCACTCTTTATATAGTATGCAGATCATCTTTAGGCAGAGAATAGCTGGATTTTTCAAAATGTGCAGTATACAACTAACACATTGCAAAGAACACTATTTCACTCATAGTGAAAAACGTTAAATGTACTTGTAGCCTGTATGTTTAATTCCTGTAGCCTAGCTTGTTGTAGTTTGTAGGTTCCTTCAACTGTGCACGCTACCTTCTTGCAGTGAACACACTGCATGGCAAACTGCTTTTCGTAGCAGGGCACGCAATAGTTATGGTTGTCTTTGGGGATGAAGCTCTTGGTGCCAATCGGCTGCTGGCAGCGCTGGCAGGTAAAGCAGGTCTCATGCCAGCTGTTTCCTTTATGCTCCATCTTCCTGGAGCCTGAGGGAGAGAGGAGAGCCATCTTATTCCAAATATAACAACAGTCTGCTTATGAAGTGAAGCATGTTATAATGATACTGAGATCCATAACACTCAAGGTAGCTACATAGTATAAAACTATAATGACGTTACACTGAATAATCAGATATTTTCCATGCCCTCATAATTATATCCAATTCTAATATTTAGCTCAGGTATTTGTGAAGTAAACTACCATTCAAATGTTTGGGGTAAGTACTGTTTTATAATGTTTTTGGAAAGAAGTCGCTTAATGCTCACCAAGGATGCATTTATTTGATCAAAAATATAGTAAAACAGTGTTCAGTGAAACAGAATGTTCAGCATCATTACTCCAGTCTTCAATTCTTCTGAAATCATTCTAATATGCTGATTTTATGCTCAAGAAGCATTTCTTATTATTAACAGTGTTGAAGACAGTTGTGCTGCTAAATATTTCTTTCTAATCTTTGATGGATATAAAGTTCAAAAGAACAGCATTTTTTTTTTAAATAGATTCATTTGATTTTTTTTTTTCATAATAAAAAAATCAATTGAATTCATCCTTCAGTTAAAGTATTATTTATTACTTGCTCCGAATTTTTGAATGGTAGTGTATGTGTAGACAAATACAATTTTGAGATTGAGTTTATGGATGAATGTAAATTAATTCATGAATTCATGTTTTTTTTTTTAAATGCTCCCATAAAAACTTTAATAAACTACAATGTTTTGACCTAAACTGGGTCTTCATCAGGCGTTATTCATACAAACATGTGGACTTAATATAATTTTATTTATTTGATTGTGTATTTAATTGGTCTTTATCTGTTTTGCTTGTTTACACAAATAGGCATTTGGCCACCTTTAAATGACTAAGTGGCCTATTTGTATATACTCCTGCCCC